CTTATCTTCTGATACAAACTCTGTCCTCTTTCACTGGCTTGTAGGGTTCCCACTGGCTGGAATTGTGAGTCTGCTCTGTATAGGAGCCATTCCAACAGCCAAGTGTGCTTTCTCAATGATAGCTTTCAGCTCCTGCTTTTCCTGTAGCATGCACTGGAGGCAATGAGTTCCCTGTTTCTTGAAGAATTGTATGCCCTGTCCTAGATTTACATTATCCAGGCTTGTTCTCCCTGCTCCCTGAAAGTTTGAGCAAATCTGCCCTGAGATCTCAGTATTTATAGGAGTATATATGGATTGAAGACAAAAGGAAATTAGATTAAAATTTTGCCTTTCCTTAGTCAGCTGGAGACTATCTGTGTGCATTCACATAGACAAATGTATAAAAACAAGACTAGCAACTACTTGTCTGCTTGCTTTGCCTCAATACTCCTGAGCCTTCTGTTGGCTGTGCTTGAGTTCTTGAACTGTTTGTGCATGCTCTGAACTGAGATTCCTTCCCTGTCTTTCTGACCGTTTGGGTCAGTGCTCTTCCGCTCTCCTGGCCACTGCGTGCTCTCCCTCTGAGTCTTTATGTCCCAGCAATTAGACATTATGTCTTTGTTTCCCCACTAGGGAAATTCCATTGTTCCGACTCCTGGCTCTAGAGAGGATAGGGAAAGACTGAGATTTCCTCTGCTTTCTTTTTTCCCCCCTTCTTTTTGTCTTAGGCACATTTATTCAGTATTAAGAACTGACTGGTTCAGGGATGTGCCTGTAAATACTCTCCTGCTCCTTAACTCCTGAACATTAGGGAATCTTTTGTATTATTTCTGTTTTGTTTCCATCTTAACAGGGAACTTACTTACAAACAGTAATAACTAAACTAAACCACTTCTCTCGCCCATGCAGTGAGTCACCAGGATTTTCCATAATATTGAGATGAATAAGCACATTTTTTTGGCTTTTAATAGTCAACTATGCTTCACAAAAAAAGGGAGCTTTGACACTACTTCTGGACCTAAAATCTTCTCCCCCTTCAAGCTTTTTGCCCTGTGGATGATAAAGGGGTTATGCACTTTTCCATCAAACTGGATGTTGTACATCTTAGTCTTATGAGTCAACACAGCTTTTTAACTAAGCTGCCTTGTAAGCAAGATAGCATCTGCAAGATGAAAATGAGAAACAGCTGTAACAGAGGACTAAATAGAACCTTGTTTAGACACTGTGTGGAAATGCATATGGTGACCCAGGGGTATTCCAAAAACTACACCAGCCTCCTGAAAATTGAAGGCCACTATGTATTTCATTAATTTTTATGCTGGTTTGAAGCAAAATGTGGTACATGCTCAAATTGATCTGTCCGCAGAACAGACACAGCACACAGTGAAAGCTCACAGTGCTGTAGAAATCCAGAAGTTCTCTTTCTTTCTGGCAGGACTTTACAGGGATTTCAGTGTACTATTTAATATCACTGGAAAAAATGACAAGTGGAAATGTAAAGCTTGCTTAAAAAAAGGTTTTCTTAGTGTAACTGTAGAACTCAATATATTTCTGCTTTTCATAATGTGGTATTTCCCCCAAACTGTGAGATGATTGTGCTTTGTACCTCAGTTCAAACACTTTAAACAAATGCAATTTCTGTAACAATCAGAAAAAAGGAATGGAATCCGTCAATTTAACCACTTAAACCATACCATGAGAAGTTGTTTTATTATTTATACCAACATTCTGTAAAATAACAAGGAACCAGTGAAGTTAAAATCCCAATGCAACATACTCTTCACCATCAAGAGCAATGAGTGGTGTCATTAAGAGTGCAGCAGTCATGAGAAGAAACCATGTCACTGGGGTACAGAAATGGATATTTCATATGGATTTGAGAGCCAAGCCTGTTTCAAACTATTTAAACTTTGAAACAAGCTCAAGGAATTACCAAAGTCCAGGCAAGGGAGGCAGAAGAACTAATCAGTAGAACTAATCAGTGATGCTGCCTGATTCCTAAGGGGTGGAATGACTGACTGCAAGACACTCTAGAAATACCTGAAGACTGGTCTATTCATCAATGTCACCTCAGAATGTGGTAATTTAAAAATGCTTGCAGCAGTAGGTCACATAAGGAGATAGCACAAACTACCTGTTATTTTGTGCTCCTATTCTTATGTTTTACATTTATGGTGGGTTAGTCTGGGGCACACCAAATTTTCTGAGTTAATATCATTCATCACTGCAGTGTTGAGATATCATTTAATTCCAGTTTCAAATAATGCATAAAGTTGTTAATGGAGGCACAATATTAACTGCTTTTTTCTGAATATTCACTCTTAACTGCACATACACATTCTAGTTTAGTCCTATTTATTTGTATTCCTTGTCCTTGAGATTTTTATGATCCAGACAATTTAGACTGAGAGAAGAATTTTAAAAAGGTACATCATGAAATAGATTGCAAAATAATTTACTCTATAATGTATTCCATAGAGCTATATTGTTCCTATAATAAGCATAGATAAATTAAATTTGATGTATCATGCTTAGCACAGAGGTAACTGGGCATGTAATTAACTCATTTATTTCATGTCTCTTCACCTAGTAATACTGTAATTATTTTTCTTAGCAATCAAGTTATTATAGCAGAATTTGATTTCAACCTAGTATATGATCTACTGTACCAGATATTGTGATTCTGTGAAGGCAAAGAAATTTCTCCTACCTGCCCACTTCAGTCCCCCCAACATCTGCCCCATTCAGCAGGTGGAATGAAGCTGCCTGCCATGCCACTTTCAGAGTCAGACTGAGCAAAGCCCTGGAACGTGCAGATGCATGATTAACCCTTTGCTACTGAGAGGGTGTGGGTGTATGAGTTGATTTAAAAGAGCTGTGCAATACCTTTTGGAAATCTATCTTTAAACTGAGAAAGCAGAAGAAGCATAGCACTAACTTTACTGGGTTTTGTCTTAAGTCCTTGCTCCATAAACAAATCTGCTCCTCAGAGTTCAGGTTTTCATCCGTCAGGTAGAGTTGGTATTCTCCAAAGACATCTTGGAGATGTGCTGGATATTAAAATGGAACATGAAGCCAAACTCTTGAAGCTTGCTGTAGTCTCATTGCATGCTTTGGCTGGGTAGTTGTATAACATATAAAATGACAAGTCTGTCTTGAAGACCAGAGATTCTTTAAGGTCATCTTGGCTGGATGCTTTTCTGTCCCCAAGAAATTTGGCAGATTGCAGAAAATCCTGTCACATGTGCTTCTCAACACATAAATTGAGTACTTTCCCTTTAGAAATCTAAGCCATTGTGCCTGTGCTGTTGGACAAACTCCACTGTGTCCTCAGGAGTATCAAGTTATGTGGAAGGACTCTTCCTTTACTGTGTGGCAGAGACCTTCAATCAAGAGGAACATAGAAATGTTTGAGAGAACAGGACCAGTCAGTATCAATCTCAAACACTTAAAATACAAATAGCAAGACAACTGCAGTTCATCCACATTGTTTGAGAAAACATATCCTACCCTGCAAATGCTCTCTTTCTGCCTTGCAAACAAATGCCAACATTATTTCTGTTGCTGCCTGCACAAATCAGTTTATTCTACAAAGCAGTTGAAAAACTGGTGTCAAATCTGGTCTGTGTAATCAAGGATGTCATTTTCTCTTGTGTCTTTGCAAAAACACATGAAAAAACCCCTAGGACCCCTGCTTTGTTTGTATGTAAAAAGATGCTGGTAATGTTTCCTGTTTCATATTTGATTCCTGTAACAGACAGTTTCTCAGGAATCCTTTATACTGTGAGAAGTATAAAGGCTATCTGTCTTATTACAGTTTCAGAATCCCCCTTCAAGAGGTTAGAAAACTCATGATTCATGTGGCTGGCAGGAGCTTAGTTTTCATCCTTATATTGCTATGCAAAACTTTGATTCATGTGGCACAGTTCACCCCCCACCCTGTGGACTCTTGCATCATTCTGTGTTCTGTGAAATCCATAAGGAAAATGTAATTTGTTTGTTTGCACTTGCCTCACCCCTGGCAGCAGCTGTATGGAATCAAGTGAATGAAGTATAAGATTACCTGTCTCCTGGAAAGAAACAAACCAGGAAGGATGCTGTCAGTCATGGCAACACAATTCCACCCTAAAAATATTTAAAACTCGCTGCCACTCAATGTACAGTGTCTATGGCTAATCCTTTACTTATTCCAGGTGTCCAGTGAGGGCAGGAGCATATCAGAGAATCATTTAGTCTGGAAAAGGCCTTAAAGATCATTGAATCTAAAATCAAAATCAGCAGAACTGCATGCAAGCCACAGGAGAACCTTTTCATACTTTGAAACTGCAGATCTATGCTTTGAAAAAACTCTGCACTACCTGAGACAATGAGCTGCTCTGATGTTGCACTGTTTGGTTCATTTGTGGAAGTCTGGGTAATAATTCTGCATTCTACTGACTTCAAGGGAGGCAGTCCACAAATAATTCTGTATTTTAGGCATCATCTGACAAGACCACACCAGTAAAAGTACAGGTCACTATGGGAAATTGTTCTTTAATGGGCAAGCTCAATCCTCCAAACAGAATGAAACAGCAATCAAATATATGATGTTATAATAAAATGTATAAGCAAAAAGAACTAAATGGGAGTTGCAAAGAGAACTTCTTCACATGTGATTTAAACCCTTGACTTTGACACCATGCAAACTCATTCCAATATACTTTTAAAATACAGTGTGTGATTTTAAAATTACTTTTTTCTTATCTGATACATTATTCTCTTGTAAAGAACATGTGTAGGTAACACATGTGTAGGTAACAAAGGTAGATGGCAAAATCCAAAGAAACATCATGATGCTCCTTCATTTACTAAATGGGAGTTGGAAAGAGAACTTCTTCACCTGTGATTTAAACCGTTGACTTTGACACCATGCAAACTCATTCCAATATACTTTTAAAATACAGTGTGTGATTTTAAAATTACTTTTTTCTTATCTGATACATTATTCTCTTGTAAAGAACATGTGTAGGCATTATTCTCTTGTAAAGAACAGGTAGATGGCAAAATCCAAAGAAACATCATGATGCTCCTTCATTTTTCGACAAATTAATTGATTTGTTAAGAAGAAATTATTGTACTTTTTTCCTTATAAATGTGATAGCCTCCACATTTCAGCTAATTGCAAAGGAATGTATATAATAATGCTGCCTGCTTGAACAGTACTCAATATAGATTTAGAGCAGTACAAATTGATTCAGCAAATGAAGTCTTTTCCTGACAAAGATGATTCAGAAATGGGAATCACTGGCAGTGCGACTGGAAATTCAGTCACAAGCTGGAAAATAGCTCTTCTCCCACTTGAAATAAAGGTGTGAGCAGCTTAGCTGGCTGCTGCATAGAACATTCCCTCTTCTCAAATATCATCTTACAGTCACAAATGTGATTACTTGTTTAAATTCGGGAAGAAAAATGGCAGCATAGTTGCCCAAAGTGCAACACTTAAAAACACCAGGGTATTTTGTTAGAAAAGTATTGTGAAAGTTTGCTTATCTCTTTAAGTCACATGCTTCCATACATGAAAACAGCAGGAAATATCGTCCATTTAGCTGGCTCCTGGGGGTTGTGACTACAGGCACAGTAGTAGAGAGAAAAGACAGCATGCTTCATATACCTGCACAAGAGCTGGCATTTTTCAGGCTGAGAAAAAGTCCCTGTGTGCCAGCCAACAGATGTGGCCAGATTTATGATGGAGAGTGTGCTAAACTTAAGAGAGGGATGGAATAAATTACTCTGTTGTTCCGGCAACTGAAAAACAGCAAAAAGGTCGTGTTTAAGTCACATTTTTCTCCTGGTGCTGCTCCCAAAATGATACGCTCTATAAACACTTCATTATTAAACTGATGAGCCTATCATTAATTCTGTTGCAGCCCAAGTTCATGAATATTAACCTTTTCTGTATCACACACAGGTATTTATATATTTTGTATCTTCCATAAAACAGGAGCTCTTTTTATGTCAAGAAAATTACTTTTACACCAAAGCTGCTCTGCTTCCTCTCCACATCTGCCAGATTACAGATTAAGTTTATCCAGAGGTTTAGTAATTTAAAAGAGTTAAGATTTCCAATAAAAATGAACAATGCATAAATCCTTTCCTTCTTCTTTATCTATCATAAGCAATTGACAGTATTTACTACTTGGCATACAGGTTATATTTTCTTTTGAGTGAGATTAACCAAAATTTCCTAAAATAACTCAGCCTGGAATATGACATAGAGGTTTTGGCTTTATCAGGCAACAATTAACAGTTAATGAGATCTTTAAGCAGATCCTATGTCCCTTCTTCCTCTTGAAAACATGAAAATCAAAGAAGAGTCTTTTTCTATGAATGCCTTTAGCTTCAGATTATTTACTTTTGACATACCTTCCTGCTTCAAGGGACTATGAGCTTTTGGAAAAGGAAATAAGGTTTCCCCTGTGGAAAACTTGATGCCATTATTTCTAGTCTTTGGAATTGAGTGGACAGATTTCCAACAATTAAACACTTTTGTATCCTGCAATAAAAAAGATGAAAATGTATTCCTAGTTTCAGGAATTCTGCCCTCACAGTTTCACAGGAGGGAAGCATGATGTGGATACAGTACAGTGCTCCTTCCCACACTGTGTTTCTGGCTTCTGTGACACAAACCCTCTATGCTCAGCACTCACCCATGTTAGAGGTTGGCCAGTTGTTCAAGAATTATACCCATTTTGTTCCAGGAGACAGCACCAGTCATCTTGGTAGGCTGAGTGCAGGTTTCTTAAAAATTCTCTGTGTATCCAGTTAAATGGATGTCATGCTGGGATTTTTTCCTGGAAGGAGAAAAACAGCAAGTTTCTCTTCTATAGGATATGACATGCACATATAAAGGACAAAGGCCATTTCATTTCTTTAAGTATGATGGCATGGTCATTTCTCAGCCTCAAACTTAAACTTGTTACCTAACTTTTCTCTAAATTTGTCTTTTTGCTGGTTCTTTTAAGCTTGAATTCTACTTTGAAATATCCTGTAGTAGAGTCTGATTTTTACTGTTTTCACCATGTCCGAGTCAAGTCTCAGCGGTCTCACTCCAGGGTAAAAGAGAATGGTAAATTCCCAAAAGGTTAGTCACAAAATGAGCAATGCAAAGACTGTTTTTATTGAGTCAAAAATTAAAATCTTGGCATCAAAAAAAGCGCAACTCTGCTGTCACCTACCTCTGCTACCACACTACTTGTCTGAATGTGGACAACTTTTCACTTCAGCCACAAGCTTACAATTAAATCTGATCCATACAGAAGGATCCAGTCTGGTCTGATTGTTCTGCAAGGGTCTCTAATTCTAAAATAGATCCCTTAATGACTTGGTCATTCAGTATTTGTCCAGATTTTGCAAAGCAGTTGTAAACCTTTTTAATCTTAATTTTTATCTCACCTGTGCATGGTAACTGATTTCATGTTTCTTTTAAAACTGAGAAACATCATTGATGAAATTTCTCTTTTCCTTCAGATGTGTCAAAGTTTACAGAAAAAAAAAATCCTTGAGTTAGATAGCAATCACATGAGGAACATTGATGTCTTACTCAAAGTAAATAAAATATAAGATTTCTTCACAGCAACTTGCATTGGACAGTCCTTTGCCCTACCTTGACCCTCTGAATTTAAGTTCCACACTGTAGAACTCGTAGCCTCCAAACCACCCAAAATGCAAATTCTGTTACACTTGACTCCCCTTTCATCTTATACCTGATTGTAAACTATTCAAACTCTAATCCAGATCTGCCCACTCTCCAACTCAATTTAACATAAATTATGCAAAATGCCTGCAAAAATGATGTACAATTATTCCAGTTTCCCTGCTTTGAATATGCATTTGAATGAACATATTCAAGTAAAGTGTTACTACTGCTGTCTGTCCAAATATGTGTGACAAACTCTCTATTTTTAAAATTACTTCACGACAGAAAAATCTTTGAATTCTTTCCAATTAGTTGAAGTCTTTGTCAATGCATGCCAATTATTTGGCACAAATTCAGTTTTGCGTCATTTTAGGTGAACAAGGCAGACTGTACTCCAGCAGCAGGGAAAAAAGCTTTCAAGGACATGCAAAGAACTGCTTCTAATTTGTAAAAAAAAGGAGGGTTTTGTGAAAATTACTTTTGAGATACACTTGATAATGCATAAAATCTACAAGTTTTAAATTGTTTCAGCAATTTTTGACTGACATTTCAGAGCAGATATTTTGACATATTTTGACCTATTAACTCAGAACATTCTGATGCATTATGAAAAAAGAACATTTTCATTTGACTCTTTCAGAAAGCCTAAGCAATACTAACAAAAAAGTAAACATCACTTTTTTTCAGTTGCTGTATGAAAAATGATATGTTAAATTAAAACAATCCATTGACATTCCTTGAAATGTTTACACTTTTTACTTTGTGTTCTCAAAAACATGGCACTCTGAAAAGCTGCCAGTTTAGTTAAATGTCATACACAGTTTAAATATTATCCAGAAAAAGTTTAAATTTAGGATTATATGGGTAAATTTCTCATATATTAGTGATTATGTATACACCATGTCTTAAGTATAAAAAAAACAAATAAAGTCTGATTGGTTTATTGTAGACCAATATTATCTAGATTCCAGTCATACCTCATAAACTTCTTCGGCTTAAAGTACCAATTTAAAAACCCGATAAATATCGCTAATTTTTATTCCTTGGGATTTTTTTATATCTGAGAGCTTTATACTAGCCTAATCATAAAAATATAAGTAAAGCTTAAAGTAATAAAAATTAGCTGCTAGTAAATTGAATATTAACATGAAGGCTTTCATGACTAATTTGACATCTAGACTTAAATGTGCTGAACAAAGTGCAGTGTGATTTAGGCTACTGAAAATGTAGTGATTGACATTTTCTTGAAGTGTAGATCTGGGTATTTCTCGTAGATACAAAAACTACAATCCATCCTGTGGGGAAAAGGAAAAGGAACAAACATTGTATTGAGCTAAGCACATAACTACTCTTGCATCAGAAACCATTCAGGGGAAGAAAGAGAATAGATACCAGTATTCTGTGGGATGAAGAGATGTTTTCCCCTTAGACCAAAGACATCAACCATCTGCACTTTGCTTTTGAAATACCCCACCTATAGGTCTGTGACACCCTGTTGACCAGTTTTAGTCAACTGCAGCTTGGATCTCTTTCCAGTTCTCTTTTGTGAGGAGTGCCCATCACACAGACTCCACATGGACCTCACTGAACCAGGGTGTTGGTGAGGGTGGGGAAAGGAGCAATGTTAAAATGTTATCTTGTCCACCTGATTATCTCTATGCCACAACTGTAATGTAATTTAGACAGTTCAAAACCTGGGCCACATTCCAGCCTGAGTGTAAAGATTGTAGTGCCACTCCAAACATCTGCAGTGGTGTAAAGGTTGAGTTCTCAGCATATTCCTCCAGCCTTTATCCTTGGCTCCACTCTGTTGGTGGAGCCTAGAAGGGCTTCCCAAGGGAGCAGCCTGCAGCTGTCTTGCAGAGATCCTATGCCAAGGCAATTTTCTTTCAACAGGAAGCAGGCTTTGAGAATACCTTCTACATCCTATTCATTAGGAAGACACTGGAACAGACTTGGGAGTGTTTCTCAGCCACTCTAACTGCACTGTTTCCCTTAATACTGTACTAATGTACTGTGCTAACACTTCAGCACTGACTTGGAAAAGTGATTGATATTTATTGAATTGCTATTTCCTCTGCAGTTTTGTCTCTGAATGTCCTTTCCTGTCAGATTCGAAGGGATTATAGTCTTGAGTGTAGAGACTGAATAATATCCTGTGTAAATGATATCCAACATGCAGCACAACGATATATAACTACTAAATGACTGGAAAGTGCATACTTTCTCTTAATTTCTGCTCTAACAATGGTTATGTACAGAGTAATAATCAAGAAAGGACACAGTATAAATCACAGATTACTTAAACAACTACCTTAATATCTTTCTATTTCCTCTTCTGAGTTATGTCAAAATACTGTAAAGAAAATAAATGATCAAGGGGCTTAAACGTGTGAGTGATGTGCCTAGACTAGAGTGTGAAGTTTTGGGTGCACCCACAGCACTCAATGGAGCATTGTATAGAGACCCCTGAACATGGACCACCAAGCTGATGTGACATTTCGTAACCTCACAGAAATATTAATGATTTTGCCAAGCAGAATATCTTTACAGGTGCATCTTTCTTTTTAAAATAGACCAATTATTGTTCTTGGCTTTGCAAAAAAACTGTGGAATGGCTGGCTTGGCCTTATCTTCTCTTGCACAATTTCAATTTCTGCCTTTTCCTGTTGCAATGCCCAAGATCATTCCCTAGCTTCTTTAAATGTTGAATTGATGAGACTACAAAAAAGCATACATCATTAATACATACTTAACTGGATATATTTCATGCTACTTAGGAAACAATAAAAGCAGGGGCACATTTTCACAAAACTAAACAAAAAAAATAGCAAAGCACTTCATGTAGTGACTAACAGTGACTTACCCATTACGAATTCCTGTACAAGAAGTATTGCAGACTGGACTTCTGCCTGTTTCACCACAGTAATAAATCACCACCTTTTCACTGTTTCTCAAAGACTCCTGTTCTGGTGTACTTCAACTGAAAACAGAATGAAATATTATATCAAGATTCCAGAATGCTTCTCCAGGGCCTTGAACTTCTTTAGAAAATTAGTCATCCACACGCTTTCATAAAGAAGTGTGAGAGCACAGAACAAATGTTCATGCTTCAAGAGAGCAGCAAGTTATCTGGACATCCCCTAACACCACCATGCCCCTGAAGCCAGTTGTTTCCACTTGTATCTGAAGCATGTGGGGCAAAGTCCGCCAATTAATCTGATAAACTAGTAATGATCTTGTTCCATTTTAACCTACTGCTTGTGAAAAACCTTCCCTTCTTTTAGTTTGGTATTCATTTCAAGGAAAGATAGTCTACTAGATCTTCACTGTGTGAAATCAATACTGTTGTGAGGGCTTCTTCTGCATATCCTACTAATGAGGGCTCAGTGGCAGAAGCATTTCAGTGTATATACTTCGGAAAATAGTTTTCCTCTCTTCATGTTGATAACCTGAACCAAATATCAAAAATATTACTAAGACTGCTCTGTTTTTTTCCCCTCCTTACCACCATTGTGGGTATTATTAAAGAAAGTAAAAGCAAAATTCTGCTATGCAGCTTATTCTGCACCTGCTTCCTATAGTGTGTCTTTCCAAGGCAGGGAACATTATGAGTGCATGGCTTTTGCTTTGAGTCCAGCAGGAGATGTCATGATGCAACTTTTCTGGGAATCTGTTCGGGGCAGACTGAACAAGCTGGGCTAAAACCTGTTTGGAAATATGTTTTTCCTGTCTTGAGAAAATGAACCCAGCAGCTTCCTCCCAAATGCTGCATTTGGAGATTGGAACTGTAAGTATTGCATGGTATTCAGTGTATGTAGGAATATTTAGGCCTTCAGTGTATTTTTGGATATTGGTCCCTGGTAACGGGCTGGGAGCTCCCATTGATGCTGTACATTGCCAAGTTGTAGTCTGCAATGGCACTAGGCTGTGATGGGTTTTGCATTACCCTTAAAAGCACTGCTGGAAGAGACACCACACTGCTGGCTAGCAGTGCGATTTATGCAAACACTGATTCAGAAAGGGAGCAAGCCTCCAAGCATGCCAGCACTCCCCCTTCCTCCCTGAACTCCTATTCCATCTCCAATAACAGGAGTATACTCAACTTCACATCTGAATTTCTGCACACGATTTGTATGCACCACTCATTGACGCCAAGAGATTCTAGGCACAGGCTGCTTTTACCAATTTCCTTCTCTTCCTTGCTTTACTCCATACAAACAAGCAAAAACAATCACCCAATTTCAGGGAAGATGGCTTTTGATGGAAGGCAATGCAGATAGAAAAAAATTGGCCACAGCTTTGAGAGGAGTGCAGGAACCAGTCTTGTGCTCCAGCACCACAGGGTGCTGTGTCTGCCTGGGTTCTTCCCTGTACTGCCTTACTTCCTCTTACTCAGGACAGTAAAACTCTTAAGTTCACAAGGAAACAAGAGGATCTTGTTCATCTGCAGGCTGTAAGCAACCCTTGCACCAGGCAGAAACAACAACAGAGCTGAAATTTAGAGGGTCATGAACAGAAGAACAGCATGACCACAGCACGACCACAGCACTCAAAGGCTTGGAGCTCTCACCTTTCAGCAGCAGGAATGCACACCTGGAAGGCAGCTCACCAGCAGGAACCACACTGCCTCCAGCTGGAGCCATTTCTGCTGTCAAGTCAAGCAGTGTCAATTTTTCAAGGGACTGTGGCTTTTTGGAAGGGCAAATAAGGCTTTCCTTGTGGAAAAATTGATGCTGCTATTACTAGTTTTTGGAGTTAAGCGGATTAATTTCCAAACAATTAAACACTTCTGCATCCAGTGGTGAAAAAGGCTCCCTTCCAAAATGTGTTCTTGGTTTCAGGAATAATGCATTCACAGTTTCACAGAAGAAAAGCAAAACAGGGTACATCATAGGACTTCTCACACAGTGTTTTCAATATTTTCACTGTGTTAGGACTTCCTTTCATTTATCTGTATGAATTCAGAGACATATTTCAATCTCTCTAGTGTTTTCTATCTCTTTATGTGTTTCCCAGACGGGCAACTCAGCACAGTGGAATGCTTGAAATCTTTAACCCCCAGTTTGTGTGAAAGCTATTCCTTACCTGTGTCTTAATTTCTGAGGAATTTGGGATTCCTTCTCCAACAGTTAATGACATCAAATGAGGAAGGGAATGAGCAATGAGAATGAGAAAAATGTGTGTCTTCCAGGAAACATTCAGCAATTGAGATCAACACAGAAAACTAAAGAATCTTTTGCAGATACTGGCACCAAAGCAGAGGTGTGGAGGAATGCCACAATAAAGAATTTACTACCTTGGGCTTCCACAGTCTATTTTCCTGTACTACAGCAATTTTTTTTGTGGTGAAGAGGAAGACATAAAGAAACAGGGCAGAGCTGAACATAAGACAATTTTTTATGATATTAAAAAAAAAGTATAAAAAGTTTCTGTTGGCTGAACCTGCAGCTAAAACTATCAGTCTTTCTCCTTTTTGGAAGCCATTTCTGGTCATGTGAAGAAAAAGTGGAGGGACAGGAAGTAGAGTGATAATGATGCCCAAAGCCTGGCTCTAAGACCACTGCAGTAAACAGAAAGATGAAGTGCTGCTGCCTCAGCAGGTATCTACTCAAAACAGGATTTGCAAATCCTCATAGCATTGAGTCAGATCCATTATGTAAATCCAAACAATAAATCCAGCTCGAAACCACATCTGCCAAACAATCACAAGAGCTAGATATGTTATAAATGGTAGAGAGAAAATAGAAATTATACAAGTGTTAGCATCAATAATGGCTTAGTTTTAGCCTGACTTGGGGAAACTACACAAAGTCTGCAAAACAAAAACTGCAAAAACCAAACAACATTTAGCATTTTTTTTCTGTTCCAGGCTTAATTTAATATTATTTCTTTAAAGGAAAGACAAAGCAAGTTTCTTTTAATCACGGATCCTGTATACAATAGAAGGGTGCATATGCACTAATAAAGCCTGGCACAATTATAACCCTATTTAGAAGATTTATTAGGAATAAAGGTTTTAACAAGATTTCTAACTGAATGTTAGAGCTCCTGGCTATACTGAAGTTATGTGGCCCACATTCCTTCAACTTAGCACAGCAAAAGCCTGCTGGCCCATTTTAGAAATGGTGTGGCAAATCCACTCTTCTCTTCTGTATTCAGAACAAAGTACACCACTTTTGACTTTTTTATTGTTATTTTTATTGTTCTGTACTGTATGAATGCCAGATATATATTGTCAGGAAGATTAATCTAACTGTACTTGGTTCATGTTATTATTCCTTCCTGTCACTTTTGGACAGCTGGCAGACATGAGTAAGCAAATAATTCTGCTTATGGAAAAATTATTTTTATGGTTATTTATAACTTACAGGCTCCAATACAGGGAGTCAAGTATTCAAGACGTGGTAACACAGTCTAACTGATCTGGTGCATGCTGTTCTGGGATGAACTCCTCATTTTTCCCTGTCTGTCCTGTCTCCTGTAGTGAAGAAGTCATTAAGATGGACTGAAAATGACTGAATACATGGGTGGGCTACATTGTGCCTTTAGGAATTGAGTCCTGTTGAATTCTTGTCCTTTCTCTTATGAAATCTTTATTTATAAATGCAAGAACAGCATCAAAAGAAAGAAGAAAGAATCTCCCAAACCACTCCCAAAACTTAAGGCCTGACACTAAGCCTCCCTACTGGGTAATAGGAAGCATAATTTCAAATCCCCATATTGGGAGGAAAGTTTATAAATAGGTTCATAAGAGAGTTTCAAGATGAGAGAAAACCTTTTAGTTATTTAAACCAGATGAAATTCAAAGAATTTGCTCAACTGTAGCCACATAATTCATGCCAGTTTTTCTTACCCACGCAGACTAGAAAAGATAAAGTGAATGCCAGTTATTTGTTACATGCCTTGAATATTACAGAACTTGCTTCCATGTAACTTCAGAGCTGGTCAGGATGCCTGCTTGCCTTGCCTTTTTTTTTTCAGCAGATCTACTAGAAGAATCTTTTTGATTTCACCACCTATGCAAAACTACCACAGATGTAAAACAACAACTGTGCAAGAATATTAGAGCTTTATTAGGCTCCCTGAGCCAAAAGAGTATTCTTGATGTGAAATGAGAGAGTTCAACAAGAAAAGCCCCCTTGGAGGTCAGAAATGTGAATAGGAAAAGAGAACTGATATGTGGGAGCAGAGCCCAGGTCTGAAGTGCCACACTGCATTTCATTTCAGTAATTGCTGAAAGCCAGGCAACATGGACTGAGGGAATAGCTATGGCATAACTTTATTGACTTCTGAATTCAATGAAAAATTTTAACTTGATTTGCATCCATTTACTTGCTTAATTTTGGAATTTGGGGCCAAATCCAGCTGAGATCTTGGCACATCACATCATGCTGCTGGGATACAATAAATAACAAAGATGCATGTCCTGAGGAAAATCATTTCTCATCACGCATACATATCTGCATATGCACAAAAGCAGAGCTGGGGGCCGAGCTTATGGCAACAGTACAACGATCTTTTACTTCCAAACTCCTGCTTCCTTCTTCTCAACTTCAGAGAGCTCTGCTAATCATCTTTGAAACCTTTCTGTCAGGTTGTCCCTGTTTCGTGGGTATTCTGAAGTTTCCTTTCTACTTTTTCTCAGATTTGCCCCACACAGTACCATGGGGGTGTTCAAAGCAAAGCTCAAGAAAGAAGAAACCATGTTATAAGATGTTCTGGCTTTCAAAGACCTATATAACTTAAAAGAATTTGAAAGATCCTGAACAGAATGTGGCCCTTTGAGTGCACGAAGCTAGATCATTTGACACTGATAACCTGTGACTTTGCAAGTTCTAAATATAACTCAAGCCATTAAACAGTCCCATAAAATAGTTAAATGTGGAAGCCTGCAGTGAGTAATGCAGCATTGCAGAGTATAGTATTAAAAACAAAAAAGAAAAAAAAAAAAAGAAAACCCCAAAAAATTTTCCAGACCAAAAAAGGAACAGCATGAAAAGTGGCATGTTGTAGACAGTGGGCCATAAAGCTCTCATAAGTATTTGCATAAAGCAAATAGGAATGCAAATACAGTCAAATAGGAATTATTTCTCTATGTGGGAGAGACAGGGCTATCTTAGCCACATATAATTTGATACTGAAAACTTCAGTCAGTTCCAACACTATCCTCGCTAGGAAGCAACAAGCCAGAGGGGCCTATAGAGATCAGCATGGCAAGTTTAGCATGTTAGAAAATACCCTTAGGAACTGTAACACAAACCTGCTAGCAAATCCTTAAAATCATCAGTCTTTGTTAGGGAAAAAAAAACAAAACAAACCCACAAAAAGAAGTTTTAAATCCTCCTCAGTGACTTGCAGCATGGGGCCTGATAACAAAGCATTGCATTCATGAAGGTACATGAGTCTTTAAACACATGCCACAGATGTATTTCCACATTACACAGCTAAGTATCACCTCTTAATTATAGGGTAAATAGGCATTTACTAGCTTCCTTTATGGGATTTTGATTGCCTCCACAGCCCATAACAATATTTATTCCTTCCAAACCAAAAGCATTTGATTTGCATTGCCCTCAAGGCCCTTGGGTCTTTTCTAGAGGAAACATCCCTTTTTTGTTTTGGCTCGTCTACAGATATTTGTTTTATATTTTAGGGAAGAAGTTTTATTGGAGACACTGGAGATGGAAAGGACTTAATTAGTCACTTAGGACTGACTTAGTCACAACCATAGTCTTTCAGTCCAGCCCATTATCAAGTGGCCTTGGTTCTTGCTGTATTTTCCCATGTTGCTGTCTACTGGCACTCTGAGCAGGGAAGTTCCCCTGAGATTTACAAAGGAGTCTCCTTTCTCAGCTTTTTCCTTCTGTCCTTTTTCACTGACCATTTGTCCCTTACTCTTGTGTTTCATCTCAAAAAAAAAAAAAAAGTTTTTTTAGGTACTCAACTTCATTTCTGCTTTTTTGGATAGAGGTGTTTGTAGTGTGCCCCTTTCCTTGTGTGGACAGATTGCTGTTGGGAAGTAACACCACACAGCTCTGCCTGGGAGACTCTACAGTGCAATGAGGACACTTGTGTAGCCCCCTATATTAGGGATTAGGCAAGACTGAGGCCTGCACTACTGTATTTGTGATAAGTGGTTATAGCTGAATTGATTAGCTTTCTCTTCAATGCTCCCCTGTTTTAACCAATCCCTGGTTTGTAAAATGTTTGGCATTAGAAAGCCCCTTGCTCCTTGAGCAGAGAATAAAAGTGGTATCCAAACTAAAGGCAACAGTTTCCACCTTTCCTTTCATTAGTGACCCTACATATGATATAATTTGGATTTCAGGCTGAATTGAGGGGAGGCAATTGCTTTGGTTTTGTGTTATCAATTACTCCTTTTTCACTAAGCTTTCAAGTATGGTGTGTGTTCAGTTTGTTCTTCCCTTTGCATGCATGTTTTAAAAATCCCTGCTACATTTTCTTTCCAAATGACAAAATTACTTCATGATGTCTTTGCTTCTCTCTTGTTATTTTTGCTGGAAACAGTGAAAATGTATTTAAACAACTCTTTGGCAGACATATATATCATACTGACCCAATTTATAGCATCTGCCTTGCAACTTTGTGTACCATCGTTTGCCAAACATTCTGTAACTGCAAAATAATAAGAAAATAATAGTGAAGTGTTCCTACCCTTTCATGCTCTCTGTTCTGCATCCCACATGTCCCACAGAGCCTACATAATGAAATGTTTGCTAGGTTGTTGGGTCAGCACGGAGGAACAGAGTAAAACCATGCTGGAAGTACTCACTGAGTAGGGCTCATGGCTCCCCAGGCCAGGGTTCCTGCTGTTAAACACACTGTGCTGCATCTGCTACTAAGAACAGCTAGACAAGAGTGGCCATTAAAGCTGCAAAGTTTAGAGGCAGAACAGAATATCCTTCCACAAAAGTAAGAACTGAAAGGACAACAGAAAATATTTGTAAAAAAGGGTACCTAAACTAGTTGGATTATGTTTAGCTTCAAGTTATGCATATGTTGTTTTTCCTTTGATTTTTAGCACACTTGAGTTAGCCCTGAGGGTTTTTTGGACTTCTAAATCTGTATTTTTGAACAGCAAGGGTCCAATTCAATTTGGTGCACTCAGATTACAATAGAGATGGCACTTCTTCTAACATCTTGCTGTGCATTTTGGATTATTAAAATAACAAATGGGAAAAATATTAACTGAGCATTAAAATTACCCTTTTCTTTTTATCTCCAACTTTGGAAGGCTGGTGTAAAATGCATCAGTGCATTTCTTTCTGACAGCTGTAGGCAGAACATTTTCTTTCATTCCTCTTCTACCTTCCCAGAGAGAGGTTGATTTTATTCTGAAATATGCAGAAAAGAATTGAAGAATTACACCCCATTGGTTTCTGCAAACTGGATCCTTCATGTCAGCTGTTAGATTTGTTTTGTGGTTTTTTGGTTTTTTTTCTGTAATAGCCTCCTCCTCCTCAATGGTTTCTGTAACTTTTCCAGTACAAAACGTGTTAGCCAGATTCTCGAGAACTTCTTCATTTCCCTAGACATTGTACAGTATGGCTATTTTTGCTGGGGCATGTTAAAAATAATGGTCTATGTGGCCTCAGACAGGAATGACCTAGTTGAAGCCTCAGATTAATTCTTTGGAGGATATCACTTGTCCTTATTTTGAGTGATACACTCATTGCATAATTGATGAGAACCAGCTATCTGGAAGAAACAGAGAGATACAAAAATGTGAGAGGAAAATTCAATAGCAGAAAACATCTTTTCAGATGGACAAGCCATAGGGTGTGCAAGTCTAATCATACCTTGACTTTCCTGTTTACTATTGATCTGCTTTTCAGAAGGATGAGTTGCAAGACGCACACCAAAGTACAGCATAAACTTCTACAGCCACATAGGCATGAATGTTAAACCTACCATTTTCATTAGGATGTATCAGATTCCTTAGTGTCACAACATATGCCACAGCACATGCCACAGTCAAGAGGACCAGGATACACAGAGTATCACCATACAATTTCAGAAAGCTTCAACCCAAACAGATTAACACATTACCTCTTCAGAAGGCTTCAGGTGTCTGCCTCTACACAGTAACACCTTACCACTTCAGAAGGCTTCAAGCATCAGCCCTTCTTGTTGTGTAGCCCAGCCTTTTATCCCCTCCTGTTGATGCCCTGCCCCTGTGTCCCTCTGCTCCCTTTGGTGGTTGCTCAGTGCCCCTGGGCACTCCATGGCTCGTTGCTGTCAGTGCTGCTCACCTGCTGCTCACAGCTGCACCCACTGGGGATGGGGCTCAGCCCCACTCCCAATCACCACACACTGTGTCACTACACAACAGGATTTTATTTAACAGAAACTGATTTGCTATCCAAATTGTATCAAAGTTTTCTGTGAATACCTCACTGAGCTGTGAGAGTTTGTTTACAGAGTTGCTCAGCAGCTTCACTTTCCATTGACTTCAGTTGCTGGCTCCACAGGGCCTCAGTTTACACAGGGAGGAGTGATGGAACACAGAATATGGACACTGTTACAAGAGCTATACTGCTAGATTTTTGTAATATTTAGATTTATTCAGAACAGGTGTTTCAGTTAATTTCTAAATATTTCACTTTAAAAGATTGATCTATTTACTTAGTAAAAGCAGAGAAAATTGTATGTTTCTCAGGATTTTCAAAGCAGCAGAGCCAGCTCTGTGTCCAGCACCCACTGAAATTAATCCCCATTAGGATTTGACTGTCTAATTTCCCTCAACTTTACTGAAATACCAGCTTTGTGTGCAGCTATGGAAAGACTGAAGAATTTACTACTAGCTATGCCATCATCTCCAAACACAACATATAAAAGGCATGCCGAATGCCACAAAATTGCTCAGAAAAGAAGGGAGGTTTGAATGTAGGGAGATTACATGGTTAGGAGTAAGGCAAGAAAAATTATGTCCTATAGAAGATAAGAATATTTTAGCATTATCTGAATATTTTGGCACCAAAATGAGATATAGGAAATTGTGAACAGTGTTTGATTTTAAAGGAGTAGCCTGTAATGGGACTTATTTTGTAATGAACACCTAACTGACCTTTTGCAGCATTACAGTTAGTTATCAGCCACATTGATACTTTATCAAAAAAATCTTATACACTTGAGTATTTGCACTATGAATGCTATTCTTACATATGTCGAAAATCTTATCACTTGCTTGTGTATTTTACTCTCAGCAACTTTTCTTTTTTTACCATAGCGTCATCAAAGTGATAAAAGATTTTATCCCTACATGAAACAGAATAAAATTATAGTGAATAGTAACTCTGAGGTTACAGATGCTTAGGAGTACTCTGGACATCCTTAGGGTTAGAAACTTCACAGTAGAAGTGAAGTTTTAAGCTGCAGGACAAGTTCTAGCAATTCCTGCATTTTGGGCATTTTTCAGATAGTTTTTAGAATGATTTTCAGACTGTGGAGGACTGCCTTGGGCACGTTCTTGTGGGAACCCATTGTATGTTTATTGGTGTGAATTTAACTCGAGAAACAAGATAACTCTGTTTATTATGAGAAGGGATTATGGTGAGAACTCTTCTGCTGCTGCTAAATTATGTTGCTTCTCACTATCCCAAGAATAGGAAGAGGACATAAATCCAAATTTCTTTCTCAAAATTGCTTCCTGAGCCCATCATTCTTCTTATAGGGAAGCATGAGGGTTGTACCCCATCACACATATGGCACAGTAATTCTAATTCATCCACATGAAGAAACACAATACCCACACAGAGAACTTTTGTCTCAGGTTTACACTACAGAGTGTAAATCTGCCCCTAATGCTCTGGCTTAATAGAGTGCATCTACTCTTGTAACACATAAAAAAATGTAATACTAATAGCAGTAAATAATTATCTAATACCACAGAAATTTTCAATATAATTCACATAAATGTGAAGACTGGTTATGTTTGAGTAGTATCGCTGCTTTGGGAGGGGAATATCACATATCCAAACCAGCAATATTTCTAGTGAAAACAAACTTTCTTCTAGATTCACAAAAGAAATTACAAAAGTTGGCTATGTGCATAAAATGGCAATTTTTGCAAGTCCTGTCTGACACAAATGCACTTGGCCCTCTCAGCATTAGTTCTAAATCTGCATTTTCACTCAGACGACATTAGGCCATTGCCTAACCTTGGCACCCATCCTCCCCTTTACTCCAGATGAGATAGACTCGAGATACCAGAGCAGTGTGACTCACAGAAACTCCTTCCCGCATGAAATCCCCAGCCTAGCATCCAGCATGGATTCAAAAGCCCTTCCAGGCCATGTGCCAGCACTACAGCTAGCCCTGAGCAGGAAAGCCAAGGAGCTATGACTAAGCCAGCGTTAGGAACAACTTTTCTATCACCCACGTCTAACCCCACAGAACCAGCCCTTGCTGACACTGCCAACCCACACCCGTTAACTCCTGGAAACTCATTAGCTATAACACAGTGTTGCTAATTCAAAAGGTAATTCTTAGTTCCCCCAGCAAGTGAGATTGTGACCCCTAGTCGTTGTCCATAAAGCAGTTACTCTGTCACGAGACCTGGGTTTGGCACTAGCTCACATCCACCTCCAGAGGCTTCCCGAGTGTTTCTCAATACTGGTTAGGTCCTTGCTGTCCTGAGTCTTTAAACACAGCATTGCAGATAAACCAGAGAGACTGGATTCAGGCAAGAGGCCTGATTTATCCACGTGGACAGCTTTTCCCTTTCATGGACTTCTAGTTCTGCAGCATGTGACTTGTCTGAACACTAATTTCTATCCAGCAATATACTGATTTTCCTCTAATCTGAAATTCTTGGCAACTAAAAGAACCTAATTAGGGTGTTTCTGTTGGCATTTGTTCTTTTTCTGTGAGAGGGAAACATATTTCAGTTTTGTGCAGTTCAAACTCCTTAAACACCGCCAGTTAAAATACAAATTTGAACCTAACTGATCATCCTCTCTGGGCAATGGAATTAGTTATAAGTCCAACATTGTGACACAAAACTAGGCAAGCAGCTTCACATGGAGCTGCTCCTTGGCTGTTGTCTGCATTGAAGTTAACCCTATTGCTAATCTTAGCCTTAACCTTAACCATAGGCCAGCAACTGCTACCACTACAGACAGAATAAACTCATTGGGTCCTAAATAAAACCTATAATCTCATTCTGAAAAAAAAAATCATCTATCTATCTATCTATCTATCTGTCTATCTATCTATGTATCTATCTATCTATCTATCCTCTATATACCTATATCTATATCTATATCTAGAGGTTCCTCTCAGTTCAAGCACTGACCCTGATTTGATCACTAGCCCTAAGCTGAAGCTTTATTTCACTAGTCCTCTAGAGGACATAAACTAGAACTGGCCCTACTGTTGCCTGTTTCTAAACCTATATGATTACCTCAATTTATAATCTCCTGCCATCTGAATCCAAAACCTCCACAAAATCTCATCCACATTCATTGGACAATGTGTGTTAAACATCTTTACTCTTGGCACCTCATTAAGTAGCTGAATAAATTTACTCAAATAAAAAGATCTATGTCTTGAAGAATCTGCTTTTCAGACTCAAAATCACAAACAAACTAAGCAGAGGGAATGAAAGAGAGCTTCCATTTATCTCACTTGTTTCCACCTCTGACAGAAACTCACGGGTTGTGCAGCCTGCTGAGACCTCTGCATCTCTGAGCTCACAAGGCTCACTGCTATGTGGGCTGAAAGCCTCCACTGGAAACCTCCAGATCTGCCTGGGAGCCTTACAAAGCATGAGCCATACCAGCTGGCTGAGGTCAAAGAAGTGGCTATTTGGAAACCTAGCTTGCCATGGTGACTTTCTGATTTCAGGTGATTTCTCATTGGGATTTTTTCTCCTACTCTTGGCAGCTTGAGTAGTGCTGATCAGACCAGCTGAGACACACGTGGCTGTAATTTTTTTAAAGATATCAATGCAATTTGGTTCTTTATACAAAGTAAAAATTCAAGTTGAAAAAGGTCATGTGAATGATTAAACAGAAGAACCACAATACACAATTATTACTGTTACAAGCACATATCTTAGTATATCCAGTGCCCTTTTGGATCTTAAACAGGAAGATTTTAGGCATAAAATCTTCTAGTCAGCGACAGTCACTAAAGTAGAATTAGCTGCAGAAAAGTATACAAACCCCTTGAAGTGTAAGATCACTTGAGTTCAAGAAGGAAAAAAATAATTTAAATAGTAACAGTCAAGCCAAGCCAATTAGTGGGAAGCAAAGCTATACAGATTGGACCACTGGGTGATGAGAGGCCTGGCAGAAAATACAACAGCATTCAGGTGTCCTTAACCACTCTACTCCCCACAATCCTAAGAGTCCACTCAGACATCGCAAGGTCCAGATGCATTTTGCTCTTTACTCTAGAGCATTTCTGGTGATTGACTACCTCGTGAACAGTTGCACTGTAGTGGGAAACCCCAGAGCTGATAGCATTGCAGGCTGCAGGGGTGGCAGAACAGGGATGTCTAGATAGGGAAAGGATCAGTGTCCTATTTGGTCTATAGGTGGTCCTCTGACCCTTTCAGAGGTGGGATTGCTGCTTGCTACATCTGATGCTCAGCTGTTTTCTGAGGTGTATCAGTTTTACTTTGGTAAGTTGGTCATTAGTGCCATATTTCTTTGCTGTAATTCCTTTTCCTTTATTTGTAATTATTTCAGTCATTGGCTCACATGATATTAATCATTCCACAGAGAAAATGTTACACACGCCAGGTTCAGACTGTTCTAGTAAAACACTGAGAAATGGTTTATTGTGATAGAAATGCTAAGTTTACTTTGACCTGATCTCATTACTGAATAATGCAAAAGGACAAATTTCAGTACTGTTCAAGACTATCCAACAGAAAGGTGGCAGGCAGCAAAACCTGAAAGTTAAGACTTGGTGGAATTTTAGGTCATTATGGACAGCAAATCTATTTAATGGGGAATGTCCTTTTTGGTATGTCTTTCATCTTGGAAGAGGGAACACTTCCCATTGAGATCAAAGAGAAAATGTTACTGGCATTCATGATACATAGCTAACATCATCAGACCGTCAGGGCTTAATTAAAAGAAGAATTTTGTCCACAAGAA